CTCTCTCTCTCTCTCTCTCTCTCTCTTTCTCAATCTCTCTCTCTCTCTCTCTCTGTCTCTCTCTCACTATCTCGCACACACACACACACACACACACACACACACACACACACACACACACACACACACACACGCGCGAAAACACACGCACACACACACACACACACACACACACACACACACACACACACACACCAATGTCAGTCATCAGTGCAACCCTCGTCTTCGACGAACTGCTCACTGCAGCTGTCGGAATCGGGGTTGTCCTCTACAATCTTTGTGCGAGGCTTGCACTTCCGTTTTTTTTTTTCCGGCTTCGTAGCCGGACTGGCAGTATTGTTCTTCCGAGGCCTGCCACGTGGAAGTTTCGGCCTCGGCACATCATCGACAAGGGGGGCCTTCCTCTTCCTCCCAACCCTGCTGACCCACAGGTTGTCGTGTTGGCTCCCCACTAAGTTGTCTGGGAATTCTGGGGAATTCTCCGGCGACCCAGCAGGCTCCGCTGTTTTCTTCTGATGCTTGTACATGGTCATCGGTGCATGCTGTTGCTGTTGCGGCTCCTCCACGGGTCGAGAAGAAAAGCCAGCGCGTTCTGCACAAGTGCACAAGTGCGCTGTCCCGGTCCAGCAACCACTTCGGATCTCTCCTCCGCGGGTCGAGAAGAAAAGCCAGCGCGTGCACCGGTTGCCTCATCATCTTCATGCGGTCCCTCACCTTCTCCAGGCTGAGCACCGAACTTCGCTGCTCCGGTGTCAGCACAACCTCCGCCAGCATCCTCTCCATGAGTCGGTCATACTCCACAAGGTTTGACGGTGCTGTCCCGTCCTTGTCCATCCTCCGCAGTAGGAGATACAACCGCCATTATCTCCACCACCTTCCTTAGCTCCGTCCACCAACCATCCCTCCGCAGTGTGAAGTACACGAGATCCGCTTTCGCTTGGAGCTTCGCGCTCGACCACCGCATCGCCTTCCATTTCCCCACATTCGTCGCGTCCGCCATGTCCTTCAAAACTGCGCTCCGGTTGTGTATCCGCTCCAGCATCCGGTACACCGACCCGAAACGGACCTCGGTCGGTCGCAACAGCATCAATGATGAGTCCAAACTCATCATGAAACTGTTAGTCATGTGGTGATTCCTGATGAATTTGACGATGGTGTGGCCCCGCTTCACCGTGCCCTTCACCCAGTCCAACTTGCTGATGTCCCTTAGCAGCAAGCTGCAGCAATGTGCAGCGCAGGGAACCCAAGGTATCCTTGCAACCGCAGGGTCCGTGCGCTGTTCCAAAATTTGAGTTGCTCTCTTGTTCACCTCCGCGTTGTCAGTGCATATCGCGTTGATGCGATGCAGCCCAATCTCCCTTATTATTTTCTCCCACAGTTTCGCCAACGCCGCTCCCGTCTTCTTCTTGCCGTCCATGTACACCGTCGCCACCAGAACAGCTCCCTGCTCCCCCGCCGCTAAGAAGTTCATGACAGGCCGCTCCCTCCAATCGTTAGACCCGTCCGTGATGAAAGTGCACCCGGTGACATCCCAACATTTTGTCAAAGGCTCCACTTGCTTTTGAATGCGCATGAAAATGAACTCCAGCATGACAGTCCGAATGTGCTTCGAAGACGGCAACTTCACCTGTGGTCTGGCGTTCGCCACCTCGAGGTACACGCTGTGCAGCTGCTGCGTGGTGTCGAACTCCAGGAATTGGAATGCAATTCCGGCTCTGAACATTGCCTTCGCCCACGCGACATCCAACTTCTTTTGCGCCTCGTTATCGACCCATCTCTTGATGGTCGTTTGCCGCATTGAAGCCATCCTTGTGGTGGAAGCACCATCTTCTCCCGTCGCCTGTGCCGCTGCAGGTTCTTTTCCCCGCTGCACTGACTCCTCCACTGGCTCCCTCCTAGCAGCAACCGAACAACCGCACTCTCGTCGTCCTCGTTGACAGCAGCACCCCCCGCTGAAATGTTGTGAAGCTGCCGGTAATTATGCAGAAGGTATTGCGCCTTCTTGTCCTTTGGCAGCACCTTCGCGCCTTGGGCCACGAGCTTGTGCAATATCTCGCCCGTCCTGAAAGGGCAAGGCTTCTGCAGTTTTAGGAAATGCTCAACAACTCTTGTGCTCGTGCCCCTGTAAATGGTCGAGCACAGCCGACACCGCAACCAATACTCTCCCCGCCCTGCAACTTCTTTTGCTTTTCCTCCGCCTATGGGACGAACAAGGATGGGTCCGTAGCCGGCGTCGGGACTTTGTCAACCACCCCCGATGAAGGTGCTCGAGCTCGCAATGTCCTTCCCTCTACCCTCTCCTCTTTCCGACTGCCTCCTGCTTCCTTCTCCACCAACCGCACCCCCTGCCCTGCTCCCGCTGGCCATGCTGCTGCAACCACCTCCTCCGCTTCCAATAAATAACTGCTGAAATTTTGAAACATGGACGGACGGAGGGAGACTGCTTTACAACGCCGAAGAAGAAGAAGAAGAAGAAGAAGAAGATGAAGAAGAAGAAGATGAAAAAGAAGAAGAAGAAGAAGAAGAAGAAGAAGAAGAAGAAGATGGATGGATGGAGGGAGGGATGGCGAGATGAGTGGGTGGCGAGATGGGAGGGAGGGAAGGAGGGAGGGAGGGATGGCGAGATGGCGAGGGA